GGTTTAGGGTTTAGGGTTCGGGGGGGAGTACTATAAGGCTTGAAATATATAGGGCTTACTATTTTGGGCTTATAGAGTACAGGGTTCTAAGGGATCTAAGAGGATTATTCTAGGGGTTGGCTTCAGGAGCCTTGAAGGTTTTGGGGCTTTGTGGGCTAATGCGGTTCGGATGGCTTTACGGGGCTTAGCTCCAGAATTGTTGGGGTGTAGGGTTTAGGGTTTAGGGGTTTAGGGTTTATGGAGAAGATCGTAGTTTTGTCATCGGACATGTAGCGGTTTTTGGTGATGAACAGAATTACGCAATACATATGCACATGTACTTGGACGTGTTGTCTAAGTTTAGACGTATACATTGACATGAAGATGAACGTGAGCGCTACATGCATGCAGCAACCGTACAAGCTGTTTAAGAATCGCACCCACTATGATTGGCAACAGCAGCTTTAATACCTAACGAAACTATGTTTCTGCTTATGACTGCATGCTTAGCAAACAGAGAGAGCGAGAGCGAAGGTAAACTTGAAGTCCGATCCCCTCCCTCACATCGTGCAAACTCTGTTCCTCCAGGAGCCTTCTTTGTAGCAAAGACTACAAGAAACCCTTTTCTAAAACTGCAGACGGAGCCCCCAACAGATATATGATAAGTATATATATATATACATATAATATATATATATATATACATATGTATATATATATATACATATATATATATAAAGGTATATATGTATGTGTATATATATATAGAGAGAGAGAGAGAGAGAGAGAGATCGATACATGCACAGCTGTGTGCATGCATAGAGAGGAAGAGAGGACCGAGGCCTGTTGATGATCTTCTGGCAGTCGCTCTCGCCCTTGGAGTCACCGAGCTCCTGTGAGCTCCGGAACTTTGGGCTGTAGGCTCTAGGGTTTGGGTTTGGGCCTCAGGGTGTTGGGGTTTGGGTTTCGGCTTTAGGGTTTGGGGCTTAGGGTTTGGGGGCTTTGGGGTTTGGGTTTAGGCTTTTGGGTTTCGGGATTCGGGTTTAGGATTAAGGGTTTAGGGTAGGGTTTGGGGTTTTAGGATCTAATAAAAACCGGGGCGCTTGTTAATTGGAATAGGGCTTTACTATAAGTACAACCAGGGCCTTAGAAGTAAGAGTATGTTCTTTGTATGGGGTTCTGAGGCTTTTTCTCGGGGTGGCTTCCAGGGTGATTGCAGGGCATGAGCATGGGGCCTCCATACTTGCCGGGGTTTTGGGGACTTTTCCGGCGGTGTCATTCATTATGTCGGTGCTACGAAGCTACTCTTCTCAGCCCCGACTGGGGGCCTTTCGGGTTCAGGGGTTTAGAGGTTGAGGGCTTCATGGTGTTGGGTTTGGGGAAAATTCCTGCTTTGAGATTTGGCATGTCAGGTTCAGGGTTTATGGCTGTAGGACTTTAGGGGTTTAGGAAGCTGCCAGGCTTCACATAATCCGTTCTTGTCAGCACGAACAGCGACAGCTGCGACGCCGAAGATGATGTGGTTGGCCAGGAAGGCTTCAAGTACAGCCACTTAACCCCTGCAAAACCCGCAAAAGCCGAATGGTTGCGAACCCAAACAACCCCACGACCCAATTAAAACCTTAAACCCGAACCCGCCTTAATCCTGACCTCTACGTCCACGACCCTAAGAATCCGAAACCGACCCTCGTTCCCCCCTGTGGACGCGCGCAGCGTCCGGTCGCCTTGAAGAGCCCCAGCCCCTGCTGCGCCATGCTGAGCGACTCCTCTGCGCCGGTCTACGTGCGCCGTTCTTCTTCTTCCTCTTCTTTTCTTGGCTACCAGGATTACTGTTATTGCGAATTTAACCATTGATGCTACCATCATTATGGTCATTGTTATTATCATGATTATTGCCACCACTCCTCCTCCTACATCTGCTCCGACTCCTACTCCCACTACCACTACGACTACTACCATTACTACGACGACGGCACGCTTCAATATGCGCGATTCTTCTCGTGATCTGCTAGTCTTCCAAGCTATTCTTTGCTTTGAAGGCAGTAGCTCTTAGGGTTTAGGGTTTAGGGTTTAGGTTGCTATTCCTCCAGGGGCCCGGGAACCCCCTAAAGGAAGCCCCAGAGTTCCTCCCGGGCTCCTTCCCGGAAAAAGTCCCAGACAGGGATCCTTCGAAGCCTGAGACTTCGAGTTTGGTGGGTTCCAGAAAGACGCTAAGCTCTTGAACCCTAGACTCTCCTGAACTGCGAGGCCCTGAAGCAACAGCCCCGGGGGAACGCTGGGATCCTTGTAGCGCTCCGTCTTGAGCTTCAACCCAGCCTCGGGAGTCTTCCAAAGCTCTGCCGCGGCGTCCAAGGGGGCGCTTTCGGATTGTGGTTTCAAGGAGGGTTATGGCTGGCTATGCCGTTGATCCCGAAACCCTACCACCCCAAAACCACCGAAAATCGCAAACCTCCTCCTCCCCCCCCTACCCCCTACCAAAGAGTAGGGTCCCTATGAGAAACCCTCACAAACCCCGAAGCCCCGGCAACTCGGAGCTCCCCGAGCCAGCGGCCAAGGTCCTGAGGATCCTTGCTTCGCACTCCTGCAGTTTGGGGTTTAGGGTTTGGGGTTTAGGGTTCAGGGTTTAGGGGGTTTAGGGTTTAGGGTTTGGGGCTTAGGGCTCAGTTTGGGGTTGAGGCTTTTTGGGCTAGGGCTTTTAGCTAGCAATGGCCATGTCCATTTTCTGACCATGCACCACCCCCTGGCCCCCAAACCATAACAACCTGTACCTCAACTCCCATCTCACCAAAAATCCCCAATCCAATACCCACATGATGAAAACCATACTATGGAACCACCCCGAACCCCATGGAAAAAACCCAACCTCAAACCCATAGACCAATACCCCCATAGAAAAACCTATAACACCCAACCCGAAATCCCCAACCCCAGAAAATGAAAATGGTCATCTCAAATAAAATAACAATAATGGGGCTTAGGTTTGGGGTTAAGGTTGTAACTACAATATACTTATGATCCGAAAAAATTTATGGATTATAACTACATTATACGTATGCCCTATTAAAGTAACGGTAATAAGGGTTAATGTAGGGAAGAAACAAGAATAATATTATTTGTTGGAATAATATTATTATTGGTGTGTTTTTTGGGATTGATTAGATCGCCGTATTTCTTTTCAATGTCCTGAATACTTTTATTGTCCCAATTAACAGCATTCTTTGGTTTTTCATCTGTTGGCATTGCGGGAGAAGGCGCGGGAGCTAAGGGCCAACCTCAGTGGTATGCCCCGCCCCGCGGCCCACAACTCGCAGCGCAGCATGACTAGGGTTTAGGACCGTTTAGGGTCATGACTTCTTGATCCCGCCTTCTTGCCCAACTCCCGGTAGAGAGCCAGCGCATCATTCCTTGAACGGCTTAACAGCTTGGTCTGGCGGTGACTGTTCGTCGCTTCCAGAAACAAGACGGAAACCGGGTGAAGGTAAAGAGTACGGGAGCCGTAATGACTAGTATAGTAGGGCTGGGACGCCTTGGTACCGTAGACCTACACAAAGACCATAATCGGACATTGTTACCGAGCAATGTAGTAGCCTAGATAATTGCCAATACTGTCCCGTCGGGCTCCTTATTATGACGATACTTTAATATACCAGAAGAATCCTGTTCTGCAGTAAAGGCCCCCATACTAAGCCCTTACAGTAGCCAATAATAGAACCTTGAGCGGAGCCCCAATTTAAGACCGTTGGAGTACTGTAGGGGCCTGAATCATTAGAATAGGGGCGTTGGGGCCCATTCTACTAAAATCATAATAAGGAACCCGGAAAATAGGATTGGTAATCATTTAGGCCCCTACATTACGGTGTCTGGGGCCCCTGCAAAGACTGCGATGCGCTGCCGGCATCGCCTCGGGCGAGCTGCACCTGGCATGGGGTTCAATCCTTGAGGCCATTTGCAGCTCTCAGGCGTGATTGCTTGATATCAATATATAACATGAAATACAGGCGTACATGTGTCTATATATGAGCCGAAAACCTAGAATCGATCATCTATGGTCTAGAGTCTATCGCATATTGTATAGAATCCTGACCATACAGACTACAAGTCAATTTAAACAGTATCGTTTCCAAGTTATGAGTCTATGAGCTATAGTTATAGGAATGTTATTGATACAAACAGGTGAAGTGTACTGTTTTGGACGAAACAGTTCAACATGTAAGAATAGTACATGCCTGCTTCCACATCTGCTGTCCCTTCGGGCCTCTGACAGCATCTCTGCCACATCCACCTGCGCAGAGCAACAGATCATCCGAATCATTCTCAATTTTTCAATTCACCGAATGATGTTGCGAACATAACTCTGCATGCTATCACCGTTGTCCTTGCTACCACTACCGTCCATGCAGAATCATGCTGACATTACCGGCTTTTCCGGCGCTGCACTGATACTTTGATTTCTTCTGCCTTCCTGATACGGTCGTAGTAGATGTCGTCGTCGCGGTAGTGATGGGTGGCAGACGCTGTGCTAGCAGCAGCAGTACCAACAGCAGCAACAGTAGTAGGATTAGGACAAGCAGTAGCAGTAGTAGTAGTAGTAGTCGTCGTCGTCGTCGTCGTAGTCGTAGGCGTAGGCGTAGTCGTAGTCGTAGTCGAAGTCGTAGTCGTAGTAGTAGTCGTAGTATAGTAGTAGTAGTAGCAGCAGCAGCAGCAGTAGTAGTAGTGGTGCCTGTGTGTCTGTGTATGTGTATATAAATATAAATATAAATAAATGAACAAACAAATACACATACATATACATATAATTATATTTATATACATATACATAGATTCATACATATACATATGTATACAGATGCGTACTTAAAGCCTGGCTTGGCAAAACAGCTGTTTAACCTCGATGTCGTTGGGTCGAAGGCCTCCGGGAAAAAGATCCCTAGGACGCTACCGCTCAGGCCCTCAGTCGAGGGCCAGGCGCAGCACCTGAAACTCTGCGGCTTGGGATCCCTAAACCACAAACCCTAAACCCATTGTAGGCATTTGGTCTGATGGATTTGGGACGGCTTAGGGGTTGAGAACTCAGGATCCAATGCTCGGGATTTGAGGATGTGCGTCCAGAAAAGTTGCGATCAGCCTGGAGCCTAAGGCTTGGGCATGTGGGGGAAATAGATCTAATCGCCGAATCCAACAAAAGCCCAGAATCCGGAAAAGCCCGGGGCCCGGAACCAACAGCAAGCTGTCTTGTCTTGTCAACTTGAGGCAGAAGCACCTTCATGCAGGTAGCGAAGTGCTCCCTCGCCTGCTTGTCTGGAAACCTCGGTTGCAGGCCATTGAATAGAATAACATTGGAGCATTTTCTGCATTCTATACATCTGCGTAAACTGTTGAACGTGTGCGGGTGCCATTTTACGGTGCTCTTGTGTTTCGCTCAATGCTACATGACATCAAGCCTGACGGCATGCTGCAATCTGCTGTGTGGCTCTGTGACTCTAGAACCTCGGGCAACTGGGGTGCATGTTCAGGTTCTTCTGCTGTTGGTTTCCTGGGATCCGTGCTTGAAGGACACGCACTGGTCATCAGCCATCACCAGGGTCACGCAATTCTCGTCCAGAGGAGTTGTCACCTTTCATGGTCCAAGGCTTTCTTCGGGCTTATCTCTTCAGGGTTCAGCTTCGGGATCTGCGAAGGGGCTTATATCCTGGAGCCAGTCTTGCAATGGAAACTCTATATACGGGATTTTAGAGTCGGGAACGAAGTTTAGAAACCCTAGGACAAGGCAGCACATGCGGCGTGTGACAGGAGCAGCATGCACCGGAGCGGTCGAGGAACACTGCCCGAAGCTATCCCCAAAACCTCCAACAAATTGAAGCTCCCCAACGAAAAGCCTGAAAAGCCGCGACTCCAAAAGCCTGCGGCACCCTCGACTCGGATACAGAGGAACCTGCGCCCCTCCCACCTTGCCGACGATACCTGAACCCCAAGGCCCTAAGCAGACTACAACCCAGGCACCCCTAAACCCTAAGCCCTAAGGCCCTAAACAGATTGTAACCCAGGCACCTGGAGGTCCTTGAGCTCCCCTCCCGAGCAAATCTCCTCCCAGCGAACCCGGGTCTTCTGAGGGGACACTGTGGAGGGACGGGGCCAGAGAGTCTACATGGAGGTCGGTTGCTATCATCTTTTGTCCCCCATGGTTATGGCTCGTACTGTTGCGATGACTATGATCAGGCTGTCCTGAATGCTGGTCAAGTCGACAGTCCGCGTGGTGGACTGCACCTGTGGCTTTGGTGAGCAGGTTGAGAGCACGAACCGGAGATAGAGCCGGACCATGCTACAGACCTGAACCTTCAAAACCAGGCGCCCCAAAGACCCGAAAACACGGTCTCCTTGTTTCGTTGTCCCTTGATACTTGGGATCTTGTCCGTGCCTCAAGGCCTGAAGTTGGAGGATGAATGTGCCGCAAATTCGGCAGAACCGCTCTAGTCCCACTTGGCTGCGGTTGTGCATAGACCCAAATCCGCAATCATCGAAGGCAACATAGATAAAATGAAAATCAGAAGAAGGCCACTAGCAATCGACAGAGGGAGTAATTTTACAGTGTGCCAAGCTTGCGATAAGGTAAGCATGGGGGAGTAGCAGCGGCATGAGGCTAAAGTTATCTGCTAGTACGACCTCAGAGCAGTGGCACCTCCGAGGGTCGCGTCGTCTCGGTCTTAGGGCTTTGAGGGTTTCTGTAAGGGCTACTGTAAGAGCTACCATAGCGGTTTAAGGCTTAAGGGCTACCATAAGGGTCTAGCAGAGGAGGCCTGCAGCATGAGTATGGACAGCTTGCTGTCCATGACGCAGCGGCATGGCACCTGAGTCCGGTGATGGCATGTAGGCCACAGGCCGCCATGATCACTGCTGCTTCTTGGTCCACTACTGGTAATATTGCATCAAGATGGAATGATACGTAATCATAGCAATAATGAAGATCAAAACATTTAGCAAAAAGCGATACTGTTGAAGACGCCACCGATGGTTGTGCTGGTAGCGAGAACCGCAAACGAACACTGCCACTATCAACACGATCATTAGTGACAAAATCCTGACAATCGCAACAAGTGGCACTGTTGACAAGAATGACAGCCACAATAACAAACTGGCTGGAATACAATAAAGGTACAACTACGAACGGTTATACCCATGATAACCACGGTAATCCAAGTAGCACGATCATTTTCAGAAAACAAAAGGCTTCAATCATTTTCAAGGACACTGTGATGCTAGTAACAAGTAGTAATAGCAGCAACACACAAGCGGGGAGTAACCGAACATACACGGATCTAAGCCGGGACCACACTGCGCATGAATGCAAACAGCGGCAGCGAGAACTTTAGAACATCAATGCCGTGCAGCGTAAAAACATGCACAACACACAATATGCCATTGCCAGAACGAACAAAGCTTTACAACGACTTCGCGCAAGTAGTAAACTCCAACTTGGTGGAGTACTGGTACTTGGCATTCGTAATCTGCACCTCTTGGCCCAAAGTGCTGCGAGTAGTAAGGCGTCCCAGAAAAGCGAAGCACCGCTCTGAGCACCATGGACAGCGAGAATGAGTCAAGACAACGAACTTGATTCGCATGAACACGATTGTGAAAGCGGCAGCGGCAGATGCAACAACATTCACGGTAGCAGCGCCATCCGCCGCTAGCAGCCGGCACCATTCAGTGAAGAATCTGCCCTTCGATTGATGAGAAGCACCACATGGGAGTTCCGTCATATGAGGATCCCGAGATGCAGACACTCAAACAAAGACCCAACGATTTCGGGTCTATGTTGGGCTGCTTCGACTTTCTCAAACTCGAATTTTCAGGTCTTGAAGGGGCTGTGCCCGGCATGGGAGCACTCAGGGCTCATTGAGTTGTGGGGCCCAAGCCTCAAGCCTCAGAACTCACTGCCAAAGACAGAAAGCTGAAAAGCCCGTTCGAGCTCGAACGCGACGACGAACCCGTCGGTTTTCATTTTTGTAGCCTAGGGGTTTAGAGTTTGAGCTGACAAGCTTTCAGCGTCTGAAGGAGTCTTTATCCCGTAAATGAACCCGCTCCTCAGCACTTGGGCCCTTTCTTCGGGGCTCGGGCGAGGGATCCATCTTCCAGGACAGCATCCAGGAAGACACCCTGAGCGAGACTACAGTTTCAGGCTTTGGCCCTGGCACTTGGGTTCTCTGAGGTTCAGAGCCCGTCCTTAGGGTTTAGGGCCGTTTAGGGCCGTTTAGGGGTTTAGGGTTTAGGATGGAAGGTGCTCCGGGAAGTGTTCAGCTCGCTTCTCAGCATGTACTGCCTGCCTTGCACCTCAACCTAAGCCTGAGGGATGTAAACAGTGCAAACGCTCCTCACGCAAAGCCGCGAACACCAAAACCCCAGAGCCCCACAAGCCCATGCTTAGAATCTATCAGTTCTCAAGCTCTACCCTGCACAGACCCTCTCAGCCCCAACCCGAGAGACTTGAGACCACAAGCCAACCCTCGAGCCTGCAGAAACTCCATGACAAAATCCCGAATCATGTGTTGCAGCTTCGACATCTCCCTCGCCTGAGCGTGTGCTTGGGGAGGCCGACACTAGGCCATGCTACCCAGGGCTTAGGGTTCGGGCTTCTGGGATGCTTGAGGGGTGTTTCAGGCTTACACGCCTCGCCGCCGTGGGCCTTTGGTATCTGGGGCTTCTGGACTAAACTCATCGAGGCTGTCCTGGGTTGGCCTTACTGGTGTTGGGGCTCCGTGGCTCAGGTGACTGGCATTCCATGTAGAGTCACATAAACAGTATGCAGGACTGTAGTACGACCCTCAAAGCAAAGTATACCCAGATGAAGAATCAAGAGCTCAAGGTTTCAGGCACACCTCAAGAAGCAACATCAGCATATTGAGCCAAGTCTGGTCCCCGAAGCCCCACCAAGCACTCAGGATTTCCCTCGCCCCTCCGGCCTTTTGCTCCTCACTGAGGCTGATGTATCCTGCACCTTCCGTCTATGGAGTGCAAATGTTCTGTGGCTAGACCTGAACATTCAAGTTCTGCTACCTTTTCTGCTTCGAAATGTTGGAATTTGGCTATAATGGTACATAGGTTCTCGAAAATCCGAAATCGGTGGGCAAGTCACAACAGACTCATCAAGCTTTTGCATTGGAAGGCCGGTGTAGCTCAAAAACAACAACTAATGAACTCATACCTCCCCCCATCTGCCCCAGTACTTGCTCAAGCTTCATCGGTATCTTGGGTGGTTACACCACACCATCGAGGTGTCGAATCCACCTTTTCGATGCGGTCTGTCGCGGATTCGCTAGGACCTGCCTGGGAGAAAGGCAAAACCCTGCATGCCGACATGTTCTTCGCCGGTACAACCGTCCGCCTAACCCTGATGATCTTGGAGCTCCACGACCACGAACGCAAGGAGTTTTGGCCCCGCCACAGAATGAAGGAGCTACCCTCGAGAAGAGAGAAGTAGAGCCGGTAAAGCCAGCGACGCGATGCTGAAAAACGACTTCAGCGCTCGTCTCAACCGCAACGCTGCAGGCAACTTCGACCATGGCCAATGATCAGCGTGGATATCCTGGGAGAAGGCTGATGCGAGAGCGAAGGCAGACCTTTGTGCGCGTGCTGTGCGGACATGTGAGTGTGAGGTCTTCCCTCCTTGAGCAGAATGTGAAAATCACACCTCTTGAGGAGGCTTTCGATGCCCGGGACGTGCTATTTGTGGGCATCTTCGCGGTCGTTTCAACATGCAAAGCGGGAAGGCCCCTGAATGCCGAACGCTTTGAGCCTTGATAAAGCTCGGCTGCCTTGGACTAAGCCACGGCCAACACTGACAGAGGCACAAGCACAAGTATCATCACTGAAGATCACCCTCTTTAGCAACTCAAGCCTATATACCAAGAAGAGATCACCCTCTTTCGCCTCTCAAACCTACCAAGAAGAGCCCCCCTGAGCCCCTGAGCAACCCAGCTGCCTGGCGAGGCCGTGGAGTCCACGCTGCGGATGCTGAAATCCGGCGGCACTTGGAGGGACTTCCGCTCTCCCTGCACAGCGACCCGGCGCCGTAGCCGTAGCCCGCAGTCAAAAAGAGGCATGATAGGAGGAATGCCAGTCATAAGAACACCTAGTCGCAGCTGGAGCAAGGCTTACAATGACCACGAAACTACACTCACTACGCTATCAAATGCAATGGCACTGGCAACAGCAGAACCAGTAGTTTGTTTGGCTTATCGGGCACAGAGAGCCTGGCATAATGGCTCTGGGTTCGCGGTTAGCGCCGGGAGGGGGGGGGGGCCCTGCAACCCTCAGCTAAGGGGGCTCCAAAGGCGAACCGGAAGCGCCGAGAATCTGCCACTCCTATCCTTGCATATTCATCCTTCCTTATCTGCGGTGCCTGTACTGCTATTGTTGTTGCTGCGTTGAAGAAACTGTGGTCACACTGCTGGGAATATCCATGGGTAGCTTTTGACTTGTTGCTGCCACGTACAATGTTGACGACGATTGGCTTGCCTTTGCCGGTTTGACCTTCCATTGCGGATTCGTACTGGGATACCCACCAAGCCCGAATGCCGATACGGCTTTCGAAGCCAATACTCCTGATTTTCCTACAGATGCCTACCGCCCTACGAGGGCCCGGCTGCCGGTGGTAACTCCATGGGCGTCCCCGTGTGAAAGACCTGGCATGTTCTGGGAACTTCTCTGTTTGAAGGGCTGCGGCCTGCGCTGTGACACGACTTTACAGCCTTCAGGCTGGGCAAGATCAAAACTTGCTCCATCCGTGCCTTTGTGAGTATGAAGGGTGAAGGGCAGGGTTGACGGTTATCTAGCGTGGGCGGCCAGGCAGACATCGAAACGAGGGAGCGGAATGTCAGGACTGAGTTGAATCGGAAAGACAGCAAGTCTGAGCTTGAGCGGCCTGTGTCGTGTAAACTGTGCGGACCTCAAGACTGCACGGATTAGGGAGATCTCCGCAATGCTCCTTCTAACAGAACCGATGACAGCTAATCACCACCCGAACCCCACCCGCACCTGCTCGTGGCCATCATCCGGCTGTAGGCAGCAACACCTCCAACCACATCACGTGCTTAGCTTCCCCTTCGGGTCTAGTGGTTGGCTCACCGCAACCAGCCTGCCGAACATTGCAGCTTGCAGAGTCGCACGGCGCCCAGTGCCCAGCACGGCCGCAAACAAAGAGTGCGGGACGACTCGGGGCGTCGGCAATCTCAGCTTCGCAGCTTATCTCAGGGAGCACACTCTGCTGAATCTACATTCAGTCATCAACATCTGCTTGGCGTTGTTGTGGGGACAAAAGAGCTAAGCAACTGCCACAGTGAGGTCTGTCTTGCTTTCGCCATGCCATGAACACAGCGGTCAACTGCGGGCCGAGAGCAGGGGGCCAAGGCGACAAGAACAATCTGGAGCGCGGATGTTCTTTGGATGTCCACAGACCCACTAATGCAACTTGTTCTGTCTCGTGCGGCTGAAGCTTCTAATTAGCCGAAACAGCTCCCAAGACTTCGACCCAGACCTCCCAAACCCAGAGCTGGAATGCCCTACCTAAACCCCCAAAAGTAGGTAAAATAATGGCCCAAAACCCATAAAAGGCTATTATTCTACATACTTTGGGGGTCCAACTGCCCTTATTTTAGCCATTTTGGAGGATTTTGGGAAGCCCAAAATGAGCTGGAATGCCCCCCTAAACCCTAAACCCCTAAACCCTAAACCCTATGCCCTATGCCCTAGTACTCCAAAGCAGTGGCCCTTTCTTCACCACGGACCGGCTGCTCTCCTGCTCGCACCGCTGCCGAAAAGAGTCGAAAACTGCGTTCATGGGCAGCCGTGCCGGGATAAAAAGATAGATAGAGAGATAGAAAAAAAGAAAGAAAGAAAGATAGATAGATAGATAGGTAGATAGGTAGATAGATAAATAGATAAATAGATAAATAGATAGATAGAGAGATAGAAAGAAAGATAGATAGATAAATAGAATAGACAGGCAGGCATATATATATATATGTAGAGAGAGAGAGAGAGACGGAGATTGAAATAGATACACGCGTATACATATACATAAACATATACAGATACATATACATATACATAATATACATATACATATACATATACATATACATATACATAATATACATATACATATATAATATACATATGAGGCTCCATAGGAACGTGCGGGAGCAATTTCGGAGTAGTAGTAGCAGTAGTAGTAGGAGGAGGAGGAGGAGGAGTACAGTTACTCTGGAATTGGAAGTATAATGCCTTACGTTGCAGGGCTCCAGGTTTAGGGCCCGGTGCCTGGAAATTGAGAAGCGCGACATAGGAGACATCTACAGAAGAGATTCCACAGTATGGGACTGTACCTGAGACTGACGGTGCAGAGGTCAACATCTGCAGTGGAGTTCGACGGTGCGGAGCTTTAGGCTCAGTTTTCAATGCAAGGCGTTGTTTCGAAAATTTAGCTTTTCTGTAGGATGCCCTCCTTGATAGTCGTCGTCACCAGTGCAGTGTATTAACCGGAGGACCCTGCAAGGGGCCATGATTTCGAACGAATTCTCCATATGCTGCCAGTTCGAGCACCGCGCGTACCTACTTTTGCCACTCAGCTTTCTCGGAGCCAATTGCTGCCGTGGTCGCCCGCCGGGGTCAGAAGTATATCTGTCAAAGAAGGCACGGGAGGACTCGGACAGCAAGAATAAGGCACTTGCCAGAGAAAATACTACTAGTCAGAGTGCAAAGATTGATGGACAGCTTTCCCGTCGCTGCCTTGCCCTTCTTGTTTGGATCACCCGAGGTCCTTGAAACAAAGCGATGGTTGCAAACGATGGGCGGTCAAAGGCGGCTCTAACGCTTGGGGGGGTGTCCTCGTGAAGCACTAGAGGATGGTGACCATCCGTGTTATTGACTTAATAACTAGAATAGGGTTTTGGGGCCCAGTATACCATATACTTTTGGTAAGATAGTCGCCTGATTAGCACTGCCAGTACTGTCTTCAGGGCTATTGCTGCAGCTGTCACCGACGGCCCACCTGCGGCGAGCTCGGATTCCCTACTGTACATCCAAAACGTTCCCTCTAGGCTTCTGCGAAGGCTCTTGTTGGTGCCGATGCCGAAGAACATGCTGCTGCGCTTGCCAGCTCCCATCAGGGCCTGTTCCAAACCAAGGCTGGGGTGGCGCTTGAGGCTTCAAGCCCACTGCCGCGTTGTAACCGAAAGTTGCAGCGACGAAGCATAAGCTGCACATTGTTGAATGCTTCAACTACAACAAGCAAGTCGCCTGCTGGCGAATCTCCGCCATCTGCACAGCAGTGTCAGCTTTCTTCTCCGCATCTGCCCAAGACACGCTGGCAGTACCACTCGCCTAACCGGCCTAACTTTCAACAACTCTTCACACCGGAGAATCCGATTAGGGCTGAGGTCGTGCGCTTGCCCAACGCTTTGGCCTCCTGACACCCCTCTTTCGGGGCGCTGTGGTGATGCTCCACGCTTTCCACACTGCGCACTCCGACACATGGCCAGGGCAGTTCAGGCTTGATCTTGCCGAGCTGCCGAAGGTCGGGCCCAAAGAAACGATCGGCACCTGGTGACGAGGTCCGACAAACGAGGGCACGGAATGGGCTCAAGACGATTTGGGGGAAATGTGCCACCAGATGTCCGTGTCGCATCTTTGCAGGTGTCCAGACTACGACATCACTACGGCATTATCCGTGCCGTCAGCATCATCATGCCTACTGCCATAATTCGTGCTATGGCTATCAATGCTTCACATGTCATCGTGCTCGCCGTCCTAGCAGGGTAGGCAATCCCTGGGCTCCGGGCATTCGTGGTCAGAGCCACGGTCTGGTAGGCCCGGAGCAACTCTGGGAGGGCCTTGCTTCGCTACTTGCGAGTATCCTCATCTCAAGATGATAAGATGAAGAGAAGGGCAAAGCTGACTGCGACAGAGGCCTCTTAGGTCTGGCGAGTTGCTGCTTCCTCGGCGTCACCATGCCCTGCCACGACCACATCCACCGTGTTGGACCTCAGGTAACTCATGCCCACCCGCACGGCTCCAAAGTCGAAGTCTCGAGGCCCAGAAACCCAAAAGCCCATTCCGCTGCGAGCTGCACCGATCAAAGTGGGCGGATTGGAGGGGTTAGTCGGTTAGAAACCCAATGATGGTGATGATGATGATGATCATCATCATCATCATCATCATGACGATCACGGCACCGACCATCACAACACAACGGGGATTGTATCTATGACGATGATGATGATGATGATGATCATGATGATCATGATGATGTTGGTGACGATGACGACGATGATGACCATGACGATGACGACGATGATGATGATGATGATGATGACGACAACGATGACGATCGACAATGATCACGAGATGATGTTGACCGTGATGACAGTGATGTTGATGATGCATATGATGGTGATGGGGATGATGATGATGATGATGACGATGTTGATGGCGATGCTGATGACGATGACGATGATGGTGATGATGATGATGATGATGATGGTGATGATGATGCTCATGGTGATGGCGATGGTAATGCATGACGAACATTTCGAGGATACTGCTGATGATAATTCAGACGACGCTGAGGATGACGAGGACGGTGAGTATGATGAGGAGTGTGAGGATTATGAGGATGAGCATGGCGATGGCAATGATCATAACGATGACAAAGATGGCAATGATGGTGACGATGTTGGAAGTGATGATGTTCGTGATAAAGGCGCTAGCAGTAGCTGCAGCTGCTGCACTGGAATTGTAGCCTCGGTAGTGGCTGTGGTGGTGCTGGCGGTGGTGCAGCAGCACCGTATGATCAGCATGACGAGCAGTCACGAATTTGATGACGGAGACGGTGGTGGTGGCAAGGGAAAGGACGAGGCTGGTTCCCCATCCTGTTCCAATTTTACTGCGGCTATGCTACAGTCACCATATTTCAACATATTATTTCAACACTCTTACAACATGCAGATCATACTGCCGCTGATGATGCTGGAAATGCCAATGATGTTGATGATGTTAAGCAGCATCAGCACCAGCACCAGCCTGATCGTCATCACCATCAGCACCACCATTATCATACCAACAGCATCATCATGACCATCCTCATCATCACCATCAGCCACAACAACATCGTCGTCATCCTCATCATCTTCATGATCACCATCAACAACAACATCATCGTCATTATCGTCACCACCATCAACCTTAACAGCGTCATCATCTTCATCAACAACAGCATCATCAGCATCAGTATCATCTCCATGTTCGTTATCAACCGCACCGTCCCCATCACTCACCTCGCTTCAAGAAAAAGACTCATGCCATGTTGAGGCCCCGACATTGCAAGGAGCTTGGCTGCCAGGGGCACCTGTTCCGCTTCGGGCACCTGCTCGGCGGTATCTTGTTGGTGGCTTCGGGTGTCCGAAGCCTGAGTCAAATGCCACTTCTCTGGAAGGCAAAATTAAGAAGCAAATCGAACTGTCATGGGGATTCTCAGCTCCACTCCCTAATTCTTCGGCAGCTCTTGCTGCCATAGTATTAAGCGCGAGTGCAGTTGCCATTATGAGGAGTATCCAGCAAGCACCCTTGTCTGCTGTTTGCACGTCTGTGGGATCCGACGACTGTCCCGTGCCGCGAGCTCGGATCTTGTCCAAGCTCATGCCACATGCGCTATGCTGCAGTGGTTTCGGGAGTTCGCAAGCTTGAAAACTCCCGAAACCACTGCAGCATGGCTGGTATGTTATCTACGCCATGCAGATTCGATGCCAGGACAGGCACACGTCTAAAATCTCTTTTTCTACATCCCTTGTGAAGCGATCAGGGCAGCTGCACTAAGCAGCCCAGGTTTGGGCCGAGATCTTCGCCGCGCACCAGCTGATACCGCCCCGGGATTCGTAGAGCAACGTTCAGTCCCCTGGCGCAAGCCCGTGTATAAGGCTTCAGGGTCGGTTTAGGGCCCAGAGAGCTTCAACCAAAATCCGTGGCTTGACAACACGTATCCAATGACAACGGCAATATTCCCTCCAATGTGCAAGCACAGGTTCGCACATCCGCACCTTGTCAAGCAGCTGCAAGAGATAAGCTTCATGGAATCTGATCATGCTCAAGAACTGGGCATCTGGAACCCCAGACAAACGGCTAGGCAATCATGCCTAACGCTTGCCAGTTCTGGGCCAGCCTGCTTCGAAGATGTCGCCTAGCCTAGAGCTTGCCAAATCCCGGACCGTATTGGCTGAGGTGCCTTCAATGCCTCAGTATGGCCTCATCGGCGATTCCAGCCTGTACAGGCTCGAATCGCCGATGAGGCCATACTGCGGCATTGAAGTTCCCTCAGCTAATGCTGTTCGGGATTTGTGAAGGTACCAGGCTTGCAGAAGTGCGATTTGCTCAAGCTCGATGTCCATATTCCGTGGGGCAGAACAACATTTTGTCGCTGCGAAGATCCGTTTTGTCGGCGTGATGTCCGTCATCTGTGGTGCAACACAAGATGTTGAGTCCATGGCAAGATCCGTTCTGTGGCTGCGGCTGAAGCATCGCGTGCAACAGCTGCAATTTATCTATGGAAAAAGCAGGGGATGGTGCCGTAAGCCGTAAGCCTGGAAGATCCAGAAGAATTTCATTCCGAACCCCTCCTTCCGGACCCAAGTCGCTGAATCGCAACTCGGCTCAGCGCAACATCTTTGCGATCGCTTGAGCCACAGCTGCGGTCAACAACTGAGTGGTTCGGAGTTGTGAGCGCACTCTTTGCTACTGTGGTCAGGAGGAGATACCCCACAACCCAAGCCATCGAGCCTGAGGCCCGACATGCTCTCAACCATGTATAATCCCACCCGGGACGACCGGTTGAGCAGTGGAGTCGCAGCGGAGTGCCAGTGTTTGGTGTCGGCTTGGCCAGCTTTCGTTTGAATGAATGCACCCCATCTCATGGTTTTCTGAGATAATGCATTACGATGCATGACGTGTAGGAAGTAAGAACTTTCATATGAAGATTTTGATAGAGTCCTCCGAAGCTGCTTGTGCGGAATTGAAACGAAGACAGCACCTGCTTACGATGAAGCGGCGTTGCCGTCATGTGCTTCTCTAGAGTACACAGTACTGGCAGTAAGCCTTTGCGATGCACGGACGCTTCATGTATTCATTTATTCTTCTTTCTCGTTTGATTCAGTTATGCTCATTTACCTGTCGCCTATCACCTGCACTCTTCTGAAAAGAGTTGCGGCAGAGCATCCGCGCACCTCTGTTTGAAAGTACGTGGCATTCGTCACGTTCAACCTGGCAATTCAAGGGTCGCAAACAGACTGACCTGAAGGAGTACTTACTTGCTGAAGCCAGGGTCATGGGGCAAAGGCTGCCTACAGCAAGACTCGTTTGCACATCAGTATCACTGATAGCAACAACCATAGTCACAACAACAAAACGCAGTCATAACAATTACAACAATAACTATAATAGTGGCAGTATTGTGTAAGTAATGCTGACGGTAATTTCCACAAAAAACTATATACATACACATACATACATACATACATACATACATACATACATACTTACATGCATACATGCATACATGTATATGTACACACATGACAACACTCGGCCAGGTCGGCTTCTCCAGGGCCTCGCGCATCTCCTGTGGTGTCCGATCAGCTCTTGCGTGTGCAGCCAACGTCAACGCGGCAACGACTCCCCTGCCTTCACGATTGAGGCATAGATCCAGTAGTGAAGTAAACGTTCACGGCATTTCACGCCAAATCGGGCAGGCGGCAACACATGCAAAGCTTGTGCCGACACGGGGTGCTGAACTGCAGAAGGCTAAAGGCCCCTGCGGCTCCTCGGCCTTGTCCTTCAACTCCGGCACATGGATGAGGCCTACTCGGACCTGGGCTGAAGCGGGGCCGGCGGGGCATCTGCTCAGATGAATGGAGAGGGTCAGCCAGAACGTGGCGGTAGCGTCTCGTGCATTTAAGCTTACGGACTCTCTGGGGAAAGCACGGGAAGATGCACTTCCGAGACATGCCACCAGTGCCGAGAACGACATGCACTACGACAATGATAGCAAGGGCAAGAGTATCAAAGAGCGACAAAGTGGTGCTGCTGAACTATCACAGACTGTCAAACAGGCTCAAAAAATACCACATGATGCAGTGACTAAGGGCTGCTCGAACCACAGGTTCTGCTCAGAACAGTGCTAAGATCAAAGTCACAATCCCTATGCACGTCTCTCTGCACCTTACATAAAGTGCAGGCTCTAGACTCTAGACCATCTGGACCCAACATCCTAACCCAACAAATCAAACCCTGGAAGCCAAAACCCTACACCCTGCTAGGGTTCCCACGCCCTCCGCAGCATCGGGGCTCTCAGCGCGGAGAAAGAAGTGCGGCCGCGGCGAACTTCTGGCATCGGGATGTCACAGTCAAAGCTTTCATTGTAACAAGACTATTGCAAACAGGGAAGATCTAGCTCTCACAATCTCTCACAGCGCCAATGCAACGGCATTGGCGCTATCTTGCAGGCAGGCCCAGGCTCCAAGAGAGCAGCGCTGCAACAGATCGAAACAGTGGTTCGCCCACACTCTACACATAATATATCTGGGGCACTACACCATCCTCTTGGGAACGCTCAAACCCAGAAGTGCCTCTGCAGTGTATGCCCGGCCAAGGCGCTGCTTCCTGCGCTGCCTGGGCAGAAGCACGCAGGCACGGGCATGTCGTTGGGTGTAGGTGGGCTTGAGTTCTGTCGTTGAAGAAGTGAACCCTTGAATCCTGAAGCTTTTGACGGTCTGGGTCCTGTCCCAACCTCGAAACGAAAGAAGGGCATCCTGTCAGTACCTGCAAACCCCGGGAAGAGCCTAAAGCAAGGATATCTATTGAGCCAAGCTGCTTCTCGGCAGCAGGAAGGTCCTGAAACGGAAAACATCGAGGCAATTTGGGAGACCGGTGCGCCGCCTGTGCGCCACAGCTTCGGTGTGCTTGTCGGATCCCGTATGCAGCTTCAACTCAACTCAGGGTTCTCTTCCCGCAAGCCTGCTCAGTTCAGGTGTCAACGCTAAATAGGCTAGCGAACCTCTAGTACTGTAGGGTTGGGACGTGGCGACGGGCGGATCATGAACTACATGCACCCGGCCCATCCGTCCTGGCCAGCGCATCACTGAGCCAACCTGGTCGAAACTCGAGGGCACATCACTATGTATGTATGTATGTATGTATGTATGTATGTATGTATGTATGTATGTATATATATATATGTATATGTATGCATGCATGCATGCATGCATGCATGTATGTATATATCGTAAAATAAGACACGCAACATTGTAGGTACGATATAACATATAATTCTTCTGTAGTAAAAAAGACAGATTGTGTAACATATAGCATATAACATATAACATATAATATGTAATATCATATGTGTATATATATATATACATATTATGTAACATGCAAAAATATGATATATAGTATGTGATACATAACACAAAGTATATAAAGCATAATATGTAATATGCAATATATGGCATATAATATCTAACATATAACACCTGGTATCTAACATGTGCCATATGGTATATAACATATAAGAATTAAGAAATAACATCTAGCATAAATATTTCACGTATCATACAAAATGTAAAACAGATAGAATAAAATGTCGACTAATGTCAAACAGATATTACGTAATATATAACATGCAATACAAAATATACAAGATATAAAGTATATAATATATAAGACTATATATATATATAGAACATATGCATATGTTGTGTACTACAGTACTACATAAGTATATACAAGATATAATGTACAACATGTAACATCAAGAATTTGAAACATAATACAACATAAAATACATAACATAGAACATATAGTATATATCACATAACATTTAACATACATATATATATAGATATATGTATATAGTGTATGTTGTATTGTATGTAATATATAATATATAAAATAGAATACAGAGTATAGAGCATAGAATACATAACATATAATATATGAATATGCAAGACATACCTGTCATCCTCGAGTCCTTCAAGCACCGAAGCCATCCAAACTCGAAGCTCAAACCCTCAAAAGTCACGAACCACGCACCTGTAGACTGCACACAAGCCACGCAGCCACCGCTCTTAAGAACAATATGTCCTCGACACCGCAAAGCTCGCGAACTCCGCTTGTCAGCCAGCGGGCTACAGGTTTTGGATGAAGCTTTATACCCTTCTGGAGATCTTTCAGCCCCACGAGATTGTCGTACAGGGCTTGTGGGATTTGGGTTGAGGATGTTAAGGCCCTTTGAGGTCTCCAAAACCCTCAGTGTCCAGCCCTTGCCTGTGAGAACCACAGCCGCACCCAGCGCAGCTGCACCCCGCAGCACGCGCAGGGGGCGCCGCCGCCCCTGCATGGAGGGGAATACTGTGTTTATCTCAGTATGGGTTCGGGGTCTCAGCGCTTTGATGAAACTCGTGGTGTTGAGTCACGTTGATTGCTACTGCTGATGCGTTTCAAGACATGCTATCGTTCGGGGATCTGGGAATCTAGCGCTGAGGAGTCTCTTATTCATCCTAGCCGCGTCCTGATTTAAGGCAAAGATGGAAACGCGGCATCATCATGATGGCTACATCACAGACCCATTGCCGTCTTGTGTCATGGTGCCGCCTCCAGCGCCATGGATGCTGCTATGGCTCGTGCCCGACTCATGGACTTTGAGCCTTCCACGCTTCCCACGTTTCACCAGACATGCCGCTGCCCTCCTGGAGTGATGCCTTGCTATACCTGAAACTATATAGGGTTCAGTCCCAGCAGAGCTTAGTAGTTCCCAACCTTTAATCGCCTGGGGAGAGGAATACCCTCGGGTATGGGGAATTGAAACTTCGATACAAAGACCCTGAGCTCAAAGCAAGGACAGAAGAAGTCATGCAGCAGCACATGCACGGTCAAGGGTGCTAAGACTATCTGTTCGAGGTTTCCTTCAACCGAAGGCAACCCAATCCTCGTCCCGGTGCCTGCAGGGCTGGTATGTATAACTTCCGATTCCGGGGTCCGGTGCTAAAGTTGGATCTCAGCTCCTGGGAGACTCCTCTCGCAGAAGAGGTAGAATCCGCTCGTCGTCTCTTCGCATACCGCAGGCTGATACTGACCATATCCGTTATCCCTGCTCGAGCTTGCGCTGAGATTTTGACTAGTGTTTTCTGACCTCGCTGCTGTAACTGTAGCTGACATTGTGAGCATAACTTCGTTGGAAGGCCACTCCAAGTACTCTCACCGCGGCTCGTACTTCACATTATTACAGCTCCCGGTATCGATTTGGGTTCACTTGCCAGCGGCTGGGTTCGCTAGGACATGGAGGAGCCTCGTTAGTGCCAGGCGGTACTCAAGCGGGGATGAATGCGCTCTTCCCTCTAGAAATCCTCCCTCACCGCCCTCGTTGACATCTTCGTTGTCTTCATTCACGTCCAAGAACCAGCCGAGCTGGCAGAAGCAGTATGAAGCAGTCCTACTGTCGCTTCGCAGCAGCGGCACTGCTTCGGTCCACCGAGGTATCTGCAAACTTTAGCGCCAAGCATCATGCTTCTATGATATGCTATGTGTTTATTGTCCTTCACTGTGTCCTCGATGGAGTAGATTGGAACAGTAGTTTTGCACCACAGCTTAGGGCTTAGGGGGTTCCGGGATGTTCCGGGCTCTGGCTGAAGAGAGCTTCATTTGATGAAACCTCCCTCTGGCCCTTGCAGCTGGCGAGCAGCATGTTCACGAAGATCTACTGCTTCTTGTCCCCCTTCCTGTCGCTGTTCTTGGCATCGCCATTCTTCTTGTGCTTCATCCTCGTTGGCCACAGATGAAGTGAGCTGCGATTCTTGGAGGCTGTGGTGGGGATCGATGGCCTTTGGGACCGCATCTGTTCACGCGAAATGGGCACAACATTACTCATGAAAAACCACATCCACATCGGAAAATAAGTTGCAATGGTCTCGTGTAACGACAACAGAATGCAGACTTGGAGTTCCACTAAACCAGAAGCACTGTACCGCCTGCAGCTGCTTCCTCTGTGTGAGCACGAACGTGGCCACAACTACAACCAGCATGTGCAACAGGATATGTCAAGCGAGTGGGAACTGAAAGCTGGGATCCCGACAGCTTCTCGCTGATCTCCGCGATTGTGGACGCAAAGACCACGGAAGGAGTGCTTGTCCCGAGAAAGCAGACTCGAAGCCTGGACTTGGACGGCCGAAGGAGACGATACCGGTGGACACAGAATGAGACAGACACCGCAGCAGGCTTGTGCACTGAATTCTGGGCGACAGAAACTCAGCTCAGGAAGTGTCTCGAGCGATGGGCAAACTCAGCAATGCCGACCCTTGACACGTGCGCAGCTCAGTCACATGTACGGAACGTTTTGACAAGCACAGTCCGTATCCTGCCACGGTAGCCCTCGGCCTCTATTACTATTGGCAGTCGAGGGAAGGCTAGCTTTCTCTAGCATGACACATTGCATAGATCCTGGGACTACTGTAAACACCGCCCCAACATCTCAACTCTTAAAGCGTAGGACAACTTCTCAAGGGTTGACGAGACTGGCATCCAATCAAACCCCCGTGCCCCCGACCCCGCAGCTATTTCACTCAAGAAGACAACTGACACCAAATAAACAGTTCATTTCGAAACTCCGGGAACTTTCAGAAGAAGCCCTCCACTCCACTCTTTCAGGGGAAGTCCGAAACCGCATCCAACACCACAGCCCTGGGCATCCACACCCCGTCACCTGTCCTAAGCTCCCAACCCGCTCTTCCCTGGCAGCTCTAGCCTCTCAACATTTGGGTAGTTCTCTAAATTAGGGTCCCCTTTAGAGTCCTTGCCATAAGGGTGCCGTACTGTATTGGGGACCCAAAAAATTAAAAAGGGGACCCTAATTTAGAGAACTACCCATTCTGGTTTGGGTTTGGATTCCCTATACAGATACTTAGGACCCTTTGGGTNNCCCCCCCCCCCCCCCCCAACACAGCTTTGAAGGTGATCAAGGATGTGCGCACGATGAACATCGGAGCTCACCTCCTGGAGGATCTTCACATGAATGACGTCGCAGGTGCAGATGCTGAAGGAAGGCCGCA